TACTAGGGCTCCTGGCATCGCTACTAGGAGCATTCTTACTACTGGTAGCAAGAAGCGACTAGGGGCTCCTGGCCTTACTACTGGAAGCAAGGACGCTTACTTTAGGGCTCCTGGCATCGCTACTAGCAGCATTCTTACTACTGGTAGCAAGCGCTCAACTTCGATCAACCGGAGATGCCAATCCTGCACAACGTGCACAACGTGCCAAGACTTGATTCAAGTGTTTAGTCGTTTTAGTCTTCCTCAACGCTTCTGCGGTCATAAACTCGATGTGAGCCTGTTGACTTAGACGTTTCTTTCTATGGGACTGCAAGGCCCAGAATCACCAAGGGCGAAGGTTACTTCATCCGAATCATCCACTGGGTGGGAGTTCTTGGTCGAGAAGTCTCCTGCAGAGCGAAACCCCAGGACTCAATCCTCCTCTCACTCCGATGGTCGAAATGGCACCGATGTGGATCACATCTCAGCCGATCGAGGAATGCGGAACCATGCTGACTTCGTCGGCCGCCGCCATCGTGTTCTTCAGATCTTCATCATGTCTCAGGGGTGAAGCACCAAAACGCTTTGAAGTGGGTTCCGAGAGTCTTCCTTTCTCCCAACGCTTTGGGACGAACACATGCTTTCATCATGGACATCCTGTCCCTCTGGCCTGCCACATATTGAAAATCCCGAGTCAACCAATCTGACTGAAGTGTGGAGTAAAAGCCTTCTGGCTGACCCCACTAACTCGTCCGACGGAATCAGGCATCGCTTCGCGTGCTTGACCATCCGATGTGGTCGAACTTGCTATAGTCAACCGTCACAGCAAGTTAGGGTCAAACGCTTCGGGTCATTGAGCTTCCCTGCGATGGCCTCCAACCTAATTGTAATGGCCTCCAACCTAGAAGCGATGGCCTCCAACCTAAGAGCGACAGCCTCCCCCTGCAAAGTGTGGATTTACATGATGGTGCTAGTAGATGCCAGTAGGGTATGCAGGTGCTTATATATACACCTTTCGCACAAAAACCTTCGGTCCTGAAAAATAAAGCCCAGTGACCCTTTTCGATTGTCCTTGAGATGAGACGAGATGAGGATCAAAATGAGGATCAAGACACTCCAAGCCACTTGGCCACACAGAAATTCTGCATCCAAGAGCATATCTTGGAAGCAGGGCAAAACATCTCCTGTCTTTCCTCCAGTCACCAGCTTTCGACACGGCAAAGACTCGCCTAGAGTTGCCCAAGCATGACGAGGCGCTTGCCGCTTCCAGGGGAACATTTGTAGGAGATGGGGAACTCCGTCACGGAGGATTTGGATCAGGTTTTGGAGGACGTTCTTCCTTCCCATGACGAGGAATCCAGTGAAGTATGTGAAGTGGAACTACAAGAAGTGCAACTGATCATAAGCTTTGTTTGGATGTTCACGGGCTGTGGCATGGTGAATGCCTCAGGTTCAATCTTGGACCTTCGCCGCGAATCCACAACCCGAGCACAGCTTAGCAAAGATGCTGTGAAATCTCAGACTTTCTCAGAAAAATTGGCGAAGAGATGGAACGAATCCAGCATATGACAGGAACTATCCCTTTTCCACAGCAACATACACTACACTTAACCTGACCCCAACGGGCACTGGTTTGGCACTGGGCACCCAGACGACACACACTGAAGAGCTCAAGTACAGCCCATCCTGGCTGGTTGAAAGAAGAAGAGAAATAGGTTCGCAAGTAGGTTGGAGGCCACTACAATTAGGTTGGAGGCCATTGCTAGTACAAAATAGGTTCTAGGGGCCGACGCAGGAGAACGGGTGTTTTCGGAAGTCAACGATGCTATGCCGAATCCGCAATAGGTTCTGTGGTCGAAGCCTCCAATCACGTCACAAAACCATGCCTTCTTTCACCACGGAGTTGGGCTCTCTGCTCATCCTATGGAGAGATTCATCCAACATTCTAGTCAAAGACGATCGTGAATTGGTGAAGAACTGAGACTGACTTGGGAATTGAAAGAGATCTCAAAGGACGGCATGTTCCCTCGTTTGTGCATCTTGGATCCGTACAAATACGAAGAGGTGTAAATAGACCACTCGTCCGCAGGGGACTCGTCGGGTCACGATCTGCGTCACGCGCCTCGCACCAAAAAACTCGGACTCGGCGACCTTCGGACTTTTTCGTTCGCGACCTGGTCGCGTCCTAAGCGTCTTTTGGAATTAAAAAAAACGAACGACTGTGAGATCTTTGCCAGCGTCTGCTTGATGCAGGAATCAAATCCGCAAAGCTTCCAAGCAGAATTTCTCGTGCTTAGTGGTCAAAGGCTTTTGGCATAGTCTGGGTCGAAAAACCTCACACTTGTGACTTTTGTCATCCACCTGGACAAGTTGCCCGACATCGGCCGCCATAGTGTGGGTGAGAAGTTCAAAGTCGATGTTGATCTGAATCGAAAACCATGCAGGCATTGCGGTGAAACAAAATCTTGAAAAGCTACCAGTGGTTTGTAACCCCCAAAAGATCTTGCAACGCACTTGCGCCCGACCCGTTTGGTCTTAGAGCACCGGCGACCACTGGGTCGGCCGCTTCCGCCGATCCGAACGGCTTCACGACTTGACGACGGTCATCGCTTCACGGGCGCCGAGCGAAGTGCAAGTGCCACACCTCGTGATCGGCGTGATCGAGACCGAAGGAGTTGGGTCAACGCGGCGTGGGGCCTGCGTCCCTCCGGTCCGGTTTCCGGAACGTGCCGCCGCAAGCGGAGGTGCTGCAGTAAATGATCTAACAGTAAAATAAGTCTGAACACTTCAGGACCCAAGTCACCCAAGTCCCTGATCCAAAAACTTCGGGGGCTCGGGTTCAGTTGTGTGACCAACCCTCCAGAAACCCACAACTGAACCCGAGTCGTTTGAAAGGAGTCCGGTCTCAGCTGGGTCTGTCGACACCACCCGTTGAATCGAAAAGGGAGGCACGTCGCCCTCTGAGGGCACCTTTTTGGAGGGCTCACCGACGTGCAAATAGAATCATGCGATGAGGCCCCGCGCGGAGTAAGAGCGTGATGAGCATGATGCACCCTCCGAGAATCATGGAGGTTTGAAATCGACGTTCCTCTACAAACAGGGGTATTCTAATCCACTCGGACAATTGGTTTATGCGTTGTACCACATTCCAGTTGAACGCCAAGTTGCTTCAGAAATGCTCTTCCACCACCCGTTTGGCAGGCCCCCAAATAGTCGAGATGATGTTTCTCCAAGCTCGATGTGTTTGTCCTTTTTCACTGCTTGGCCTAAGCCAATAAGCCAAGGCACCAGAAAGCCCAGGATGAGGGAAGAGGCCATGAAGCCCATCAGCCAGAATAAGTTGAAGTCAATCACCACGACCGCAAAGCTCCCAGCCCAGGCGCCTGCGATCGACGAGCTGGCACTTATGGGCGAAGATCGAGTTCCGCGTCTTGGGTGCCTGCTCTGCCAGGAGCTACTTGTAGCGTCCGATCGCTCCTAGTAAGGCCAGGAGCCCCGAACGTAGCTTCTTGCTACTAGTAGCAATGCCCTTTGCTCCGTTCGTAGCTTCTCGTGATCATTGGTGACCAGAAAACCTCCGACCGGATCGAGTGGCCTATGACCAGATCCAGCAAATACAACAGCAAAGCCACCAGCAGGGTGCTGCAGAGAATTTCAAGTCGATGAGAAAGCACCTTTGCCACCTACAGGGGATCCCACAGGTGCAGGAGGTCTTCCTCATGAGGAAGGAAGACCCATGGCTTCAGCATTCCGTCCCAGACCATTCCATGCAAACCTCCTCTCTCCACTTAAAAGCGATGGCCTCCAACCTACTAGCAAATAGCAATGTCCTTCAACCTCAGAGCAATGGCCTGAAAAATCTAGGAGCGGCCTCCAACCTAATAGCAATGGCCCATGAACGGTGAGGAGAGGCATCCCTTTTGATCTCCTCCCGGGTCCTGAGATTTGTCATCCAACAGGTGCCTTACTAGTAGTAACAAGTGCCACGCTACTAGTAACAGGCGCCTTACTAGTAGTAACAAGAAGCTATTAGAATTAACTTTAAAAATGAATTTCTGTCACTTCTGTCACTTCTATCGCACCTGTTCAGTCCCCCGGAGAGTCAAAGGGAGTAAAATCACCATATAGAGCGGAGACAGGATTGCCACCCTCGGGACGGGATCCACGGTCCACCATTTCCGAACTAGTAACAAGTGCCTT